CAATTTTATTCTTCCTTATGAAATATTTCGAGCTGATACTAAAATGACATAGTAATACAGTAATTACAAGCCTTATAACATGCAAAGTACTTAATGAAAATGAACTTAATTATAGTGTTTTGGAAAGCTCTAGAGATAAGCTACAAGAATATCTAAAAAAAAGGGAAGATTCCATTTAAAAAATTCATGTTGGGTTGCAATCTACAATCTTTATTGATTGCTTGCTACATAAAGCTGCGTACACATTTAGCAAACGAACACTAAACGCAAATATTCAGACATTCGTGTTTGTAAGTAATTATTCTTTTTCTTGATTCCACCGAATACTAGCATTCGATCAGATTTTATGTCCGTTGCACATAGAAATTAAACTTATGCAACTTTTATGTAACAAATAACAACACAAACTTTTACTTCGCTGTTCAATCAGTCGTTCGCTAGGTGTATACACGGCTTAATTGAAATACATTGGCGATAATCGCGCTTTACGTTGAAGTGACAAAGAATTCGTTTATTACTAAAATAAAAAGTACAGCTAGATAGAACTCGTAGAAAAACAATTAATCTATTCTCGGACTGAATTTCATCTACATTGCACTTTTTCTCTTATTTTTCAAATTTTAAGAATTTGTCTAAGAACTGCTCGTAAAAAATCGACGGAATGGCCTATCACTGATGTTTGCCACATGCAATTGCGAAAAGTTAACACAGCGGATGCATCAAAACGCGATTCTCGTAGCAGTTGCGGGCAACGTCGGCCAGAGCCTCTGCCATCGCCGTGCCGGTTTCCTGCACCATGGTCTTTAGATAACTTGTCTCCTTCTGCAGAAGCACGTGGGGATGATCGAATTCCTGCACACGATAAAAGTCCAACTTTGAAGAAGAAGTTCGCAATTTACGAAACATTCTCGTGTACAGAAACTACTTACCTTTTATTTGATACGTGCAGCGTATAAACACTTACGTAACATAATAATGAAAATAATCGTTTCTACTGATGGATTACGTCGCAGAACAAAAAAATGGAACTGTCAGCACTTTCATATTAAAAATTATGAGCATTATGTAAACATGCCATTTTGCGATTCTCCAACAGTTAAATAACACATTCAAACAAATTTATTTCAATAAAACAACGTTCTCTAAATTTTTGGAATAAAATCTCACTCCAAAAGAGTTAAAATACTGCCACTATTAAAAAAGAGTAAAAAAATTACACTATTGAGTAAGAGTGGAAGATTTTCACTTTTTTCTTGAAGTGAAATTCACTTCAAGAAAAGAATGAGATTATTTTCCTTTAGAGTGATTCTCACTCCAAAAGAGTGAAAATCTATTATCTTATTCGAGAGTGCAAATTTTTTACACTTTTTCAATAGTGGAAATATTTTAATCCTTTTGGAGTAAAATTTCACTCTAAGAAAGAGCGCGAAAATAATTAAGGAAAAATTTGAAGAACTCATAAAATAGACATATGAATTTATATGCTTTTAAAAATTAAAAATAAATATAATAATTTAGAAAAAGAAATTTAAAAATGTGTAACAAAAATGATCGATAAATCACGATCATAGTTGCACTGATTTCCCATAATTATAAATAAAAGAAAAATTTCGTAATCTACTTAAATTCAACTTACTTAGATTCAATAGTTTACGACAGTTTACGTTATCGAAAAAATACACGAAAAAATAAGATTATAAAAAAGAATTGACTCACCACCGCGTTACCAGCGTCCATTACTAGAATGCAATCGCTGTCCATGACAGTGTTAAGTCGATGAGTGATCGACAGCACCGTACTCTTCTCAAACTTCCTCCTGATCGTGGTCTGAATGAGGTCGTCCGTTCGCGGGTCGCCTCGGGCTAAAGGAAGATCTCGACGATAACCCACCCAGAAAGTGCGTAGAATCCAACTGCGAAGAAAAAAAATAAAGCAAACACGTTTTACTCGACTGAACCATCCGCAATTCGTCGAGGTTCCAGAATTTTGCTTTTCTCGTTGAAATACTAATTTTTTTCTCCTAATTTTCAAGATTATACTATCGCTTTACATATTATCTTGCAAAATTGATTTGTATCCTTCTTTCCACTTCAAATCAATAGAAACTGCGTCATTACACTTAAGAATCAAATATGGCACAAAATAATCAGAATAATTTTCTTTTCGTAAAACTTGACATCAATTGTTTATATCTCGATTAATTTTCCAATTAAAAAATCCTTTGGCATAAAATTCTATCTTCCAGAGCACTATCGATGTATAAAATTTAAAAAATTTCTGAAAGTTGACTAATTCGTTTCACGCAGACTAACTTGTTATCGAATCGAAAAATGCGATAGTTTGTAAAAGTGTAACATCAAATGTATTAAAAATGAATAAGGAATGATTATACTAAAAAATAAAAATGGTAGGGTAATTATGTAATATAGGGGAGCCACCCTGTGATGATCTTGACTTTGACATATATTGTCAATCATATAACATGAGAAAGTCATGAGCTCTCAGGCAGGGGAGAGAAAGTGAGTTTTTAATATTATATGTCGAAAAGTAAGATGTTATTTCGTAAAATTTTTTGTTAATAACTTTTTAACGAATAACGAGCGACTGCTAAAATCTGTTAGAGGTTATTCAGGTTCATGGCCTTGACAATATATGTCAAGGTCAAGATTATCAGAGGGTGACTTCTTTGTACTACATAATTATCAATGGTAGTTCCATTTTATACTTTTCATATTCCTAAACTGGAAACTTTTGAATCTTATATATCAAGTTATTACATTCTG